AGAAGGCAATTAAAGCAGCTTTTCAAATTCAAATTCAATCTAGAGAATGAAATTTCATTAATGAAATTTAATCTAAATTTAACTTATAGCCCCCCAAAACAGGGTTTTACATAGATTCAGAGAACAGTTTGGTGGTTACCAGAGGGAAAAGGAGGTTGAGGGGAGGGCAAAATGGGTAAAGGGGGTCAACTGTATGGTGACAGATAGAAAACTAGACTTTTGGCGGTGAGCATGCTATAGTGTATACAGAAGTGGAAACATAGTGTTGTACACGTGAAACTTATATAACGTTATCAGCTAATGTTACCTCGATAAAAAAAGAGCAAGGTTTTAATTAGTTTTCGAGAGTAATGTGACATGAAAAATATTCTATTGTATGGGAATATTTGATGTAAATCATTCTAAACACTGAATAATACTTTTTATAAAACTTCATATAGATATAATACCATGATTTTGTTAATTATACATTTTTAGACATTCTCTTACTTTTTATCATGGAATCATTTATAGCTGTTATTACTCTAGTTGCCTCCTCTAAATGTACTAAAATTTTGGGAGTATTTTGGCTGAGTAATATTCAGATTCTTTTGGTCAAAGACAGTTTCATAAATAATATTGAAGACCAAATACTGAAGAGTAGCCTTCTCAAATACCAAATTGTCCATTTTTTTTAATGTCATAAACTAGGATAGCATTAAGCTTTTCATCCTCCCCTTATATCATCATTCCTGATTATCCCCATTTTTCCTCCTGCTGATGGTGTGTACCGTACCCACAATCACATCCATACCGCTATGTCATCAAAGTCCAAGGGGAGACGATCTTCTTCTCACCTCTACATGGCACAAAACCCAACATTCCTCAATAGAGGAAGCTGGGTTAGCTTTTGTGCAATTGCATAAGGAAGGTGGCCTTCTCCCACTCCTCCTGACTCTGGAAAGTTACCAAGGACTATCCTTCAAAGGGGGTTCCCCATAGGATGGAAGGCAATAGACTTCTATATAGAGGTACCCTTCAGTACCTCTAGAGGTATCAATGCAAAGTGCTGATAACCAGTTGGTGTACAAAACACCTAGACATGGTCTAAAGCTCCAAGACCTTACATAACAGTCCCATTCACCGGCATGCTCTTTTATGCATCTTATTATAATATCCTTCAAATTTTGATATTATAAAGAATAAGATACTGGGGGAATCTTAAGACCTTGAAGATAAAGAAATTCACGTGCATGTCGAAACTCTCATAAATTTTCTGGTGATCACATACTGTGTTGTCTGATGGTAACGGTAAGTAAATATATTATTTATGATATCAGCACATGCTAATTGACCTTCAATGTTAAGTAAGCTAAACTATCACTCTTTTAGGTATATTTGGATAATTTTGATAAATATAGTTAAATGTGAACTCACTGAGGATAGGAACCTTGGCTTATGAATGTATTGTCTCCTATGCCTAGAATAATACCTGGCACTTAGTAGGTATTTCATGAACATCTGAGGGATGCATGAGTGCATAGCTGTAAAATAAAATGTAATGCCTTTTCAATATCTAAGCACAAAACAGCTGTGTAATTAGATACAAATGAGATTGGCTCAGTTTATTTTTGTCCATTTTAATTTGTGAGCAAGTTGTTTCTTAAGTGACCCAGTGCTACGGTGTGATAGGACAGAACATGATCACTAACATAACAAATATGATTAAACAATCTATACTATGTAAGTATTTTGTTAGTAACTTGGGGTACTTTCTATATTGCTTGATATGTTGTCAAGAGTTTAAGCAACACTTATTGCTCCTGCTATGTGCCAGGCTCTATTAAAACTGCAATTTTTGTCTACTGACTTTTTAAACTCCACCATATAAGAACACATCCATCTTGTTCATCAAGCCAGCACCTAGCTCCACGCCTGCCAATATAGTGTGATATATTGCCAATAAATATTTGTTGAATAAATAAATGAATGGAAAACAGTGAATAGGTCAGGTTTTTGCTTTCAAGTAATATCGTCTACGGGAGAAGGGTTGACAGATTGTGGTGCTGTAAGAGTCGGTAGTATTAGATTCAGGTGCTATGGAATAATTAGCTGTTAAAAATAATTTTATGTTTGAATAGCTGAAGCACGCTGTCAGAACTATTAGAGGCTTACAAGTTCTAGTGACACAGGACATAGGCCAAGTTGAATGGTGTCTGAGAAGAAAAGAAAAAAAGAATAGAAGTAACAGTAGGTGAAGAATCCAGAAATTAGTCCCTTTGATGATCGCTGGAAGGAATGAATACTACAGAACTCGAGAACTAGATGATACTGTCAGCCTCAGAAACAAAACTAAGACGATCCTCAGGTAGAATTATGTGGCATGAATGAGCTACATGGTCATTGAGGAAATGTGGGAATGAGAGAAAGAAGGGCATTGAGAAACTCCCCACACCCCCTCCATAGCCATAGATACTGAAAAGTGAATAACACAGTTACTCATTGATGTTCCTTGAAAGAGTTAACATATTTTCCCCTGAAGTCACCCTATACTCTATCCCTGTTGCACCTGATTTATTAAAAGCAGTGATTTAGACACTTGTAAGAGTGGGAGTTGGTGAAGGCCAATAGTAAACTGGCCTGAGAGTTAGATTCAAGTTCCGGCTGTGCCCCTCCCTAGCTATTCAACCTGGAGAATTCACTTGTCATTTAGGGGCCTCATTTTCTCATCGTATTAATAGAGCCTTAGACCACAAAGGGCTTCTCTCACTCAAAAATGGCTATCATTCTGCAAACTTTATCATTCTTATAATCTATCATAATCTTAAGAACATTTTAATAAACTTGTTCATTTTTTTAAAATTAGAGAGGGACTTCCCTGGTGGCGCAGTGGTTGAGAGTCCGCCTGCCGATGCAGGGGACACGGGTTCGTGCCCCGGTCTGGGAAGATCCCACATGCCGCGGAGCGGCTGGGCCCGTGAGCCATGGCCGCTGAGCTTGTGCTTCCGGAGCCTGTGCTCCGCAGCAGGAGAGGCCACAGCGGTGGGAGGCCCACGTACCGCAATAAATAAATAAATAAAATTAGAGAGACTTTGGAATCGGAAGGCAAGAATGAGGTGATGATAGGGAATTGGGTGAGATACTGCCGCTTAGTAGGAATAAAGCTGAAATTTGCCTTTCAGACTCAAACACATCTTGGGACATTGAGTAGGAGTATCTGTAGGCAGAATGGGGCTTAAAATTTTGTTCTGTTTTATTAACAAGAAGGAAAGTGTTCTTGACTTTAATCATTTATTTTTATCTATCATAAATTCAACCAAGAATCTTGGATTAACACACCTTTAAATATGTCATTGTGTGAAATTTCCCATTGAGAGGAAAAGAGAAACTCCTTTATGGAGAATTCAAAGTGAATATAGAAAAAACTAGTTCTACGCAACTATAATTCCCCCAGTCATTTGGACTGTCAAGAAACTTGCTTTACTAGTGGGAAGCAGCTGCATAGCACAGGGAGATCCGCTTGGTGCTTTGAGACCACCTAGAAGGGTGGGGTAGGGAGGGTGGGAGGGAGACGCAAGAGGGAGGGGATATGGGGATATACATATATATATATACAGCTGATTCACTTTGTTATACAGCAGAAACTAACACAACAGTGTAAAGCAATTATACTCCAATAAAGATGTTAAAAAAAAAAGAACCTTGCTTTAACTTGAATTACCTTAATAAAGGTTTTTTGGTTTTTAAAGGTTTATACACTATGTAATTGCCCAACTCTACACTTTATTCTGCACTGTGGAGACCCAGTTAAGTGTTCTTCCCACTGAGCTGTTGCTCCATGACTAACAAGGAAGTCCCTTGCAGGATGACTAGTTACTCAATGTAGATGAATCAGATATGTATTTCTTCCACTTGGGGAATATTGGGATGAGTGTGTTCAGAGATTTGTTGCCACCTGATATACTGCCCTATGTGGGGCATCTTTTTAAATCCATAAGTCACTGCAGTTCTATGAGGCCACTTATGTGACAGGAGGAGGCCTGCTCCCACATTGAGGTTTGGCGCAGCTAGTGTTTCTCTTTGCCAAAAAGGGCAAAGGCCTTGAGCAAGAAGCCAGCTTTTTCCTGATTACAAAACTGACCACAATTCCTCGCCAACCTATCAGTGTAAGTCCGCTTTTTTTTTTTTTTTTTTCTGGTAATGCATTATTCCTCTCAGGGAGAACTCCACTTTTTTCATTATGGTAGGGAATTTATTGTTTCAGCATTAACCGATGTTCAGACATCAGCTGAGGTATTTGCTATTGATGGATAAACTTAATAATTAAGTTTTCAAAAAGCAGACCCTGATATACAAAATCTAAGCCATAGCTGGACCTGCCTCCAGTCTCTTAACTCTTTAATTTTATGGAATTTGGATAGCTTTCAGCATCATTTTTTACATACTTTACAAAGTAGTAGAATAAATACCTTAGAACATTTTAGTAGCTGATAGCAAATTTTAAAATATGATCACATTCTTGAATTCAGATGTTTTCTTCAGATATCAGATAATGTGATTATAGATTCAACCAGGGATTGGCAGACAGAAAAACGCTTTGTCCAAGTAAGTTTATTTCATAACCCAGAGATGTAGAGCTTTCCATTTAAGAAGCAATTGAATATTGAAAAATCTCTTCGCTCCAAGAGTTCTAAATACTGTACTGCTGCTCGCTTGCACCCCTCACAAGACACGGAACATGAGGGTCACTGGCGAGACGGTGTGGCAATGTTTTCCTTGTAATGTACCAAGTCTTGCCAAAGCAGTGAACGAGATTATGACACAACATTCTGTCACAGCTGGTCTCCAACAGGAGGGTGCCAGCCAATTCAGGCCTGGTCCTTTGTGAATTTATTCCCACCTCCCCCAAATATTTGGAAACTGATGTCTTGACTCATTGGTGCGTTCACAAGTTCTACTACCACAAATCTTTTTCTTTTAACGGATTGGACTTTTGCAAGAAATAGACAAATATCAGTGTGAATCACAGCAAACTCCTGTTCCATGCTGTGATGGGTGAAACTCTGGGAGATTCTCTTATTGACCCAGAGAGTGATTCCTTCGCGGACACACTGTCTGCAAGCACTTCACAAGGTAAAGTGAATTCCAGATACGGCTGTTGGGATACTTCGGGCATCATGGAAGGGTGAAATTGTTCTTGTAGTTTGTTTTCCAAGTTATGTTTGTTCTAATACAATGATGTGTATAGTTCAGTATTTTGATGCTTCGTTTGCTACTACTGTGTTCACTTATAAGCATATTTAGAACTTCTTAGAAAACCTAAATTAATCCTTATTTTATCTCTGTGCATGACTCCTATGTCCTGAATTTTAAGCATTAAAGGTATATTTATATTTTTTAAAATCCTATTCATTTTTTTAAATTGGGGTATAGTTGTTTTACAATGTTGTGTTAGTTTCTGCTGTACAGTGAACCAGCTATATGGATACATATATCCCCTCTTTTTTGGATTTCCTTCCCATTTAGGTCACCACAGAGCACTGAGTAGAGTCCCCTATGCTATACAACAGGTTCTCATTAGTTATTTTATACGTAATAGTGTATATATGTCAATCCCAATCTCCCAATTCATCCCACCCTCCCCTTTCCCACCTTGGTGTCCATACGTTTGTTCTCTGTGTCTGTGTCTCTATTTCTGCCTTGCAAACAGGTTCACCTGTACGATTTTTCTAGATTCCACATATATGCGCTAATATGCGATATTTGTTTTTCTCTTGCTGACTCACTTCACTCTGTATGACAGTCTCTAGGTCCATCCACCTGTTTATTTTTATTTCCTGAGTTTATATATGTTTCCCCCAAATACCTAAGGTCTTTTTAGAATACCTGAAGAGTCACTTTCCTGCTTGTAGCCTTCTGTGTTACCTGTCTCTCATAGCAGTGTTTATCCCTCTCACAGCATTTATTCATCTTAAAGTACTCTTTGCACGTTTCTGCTCTATTTTGAAATCTAGATACTTGCATGTACATTTTATCTGTCCCAAAGAATTGTAAGGTTCCTGAGTGTAGGACCAAGTTGTGTTCTTCTTTATATTTCTTAGGGTGTGAAGCATAGTGCCTAAGGCTTTGTAGAATCGTGCGGGGACCTTGAGAAGGTCTAAGTGTTGCATTTTACACATAAAGAAAATGATGCCCCTAATGCCTGTCGTATGCTAAGTAAATGATTATTACTTTTGTTCGGTTATGAAAGATTCCGATACTTCATTTTCAGTATTCCTTTCTTGGCCGTTGCAAGATGTAAGTTCTTATTTCTGTAGCTCCTTCTACTGGAGTGTATTAGCACAGCTGATTCTGTTTTGTACTGTTTTGTATGTATTTCTGGGCATTTTCTTCTCACAGATGCCACATAAAAATAGGTTGTGTTAACTAGTCTGATTCACGTTTTACAATACAGGCGCTAAAGCATTAAGTTGCTTAATTGTTGAAATGCATGGCTTTACATTTTGATTTTCAGTTTTTCTGGAAGCCTGAACTTTGAACATATCGATCACAAATTTTTAAAACATCAAGCTTTTTAAAAATTAAGAGAAAATATTTCATGAAATACCATTTCGTTTTCTTATGATGACTGGACTCAATGTATGTTTCTATCATCTGAGTCTCTGAAATAGGAGTTTAGTTTCATTATATTATATAAAAGTCTGTTACTCTGTTTTTCTATAAGCCATAAGAAGTATTGCTATCTTTCTCCGGTTTTTCGTTTATGCTGCATCAGGGCAGAATGTCCTAGCTATACCGTAGAATAATTCTTGAGTCAAAATTTGATAGTTTTGTCTGTTTGAAAAGGGTATGTCCAGAATGCAGTACAACAAATGTTTTAGGTTAACCAGGGCAAGTGCTGTTTATGGTAAGGGATAGTTATGGGTTTCAAGTTAGTTTTCATCCTGTGCTAATCTCTTTATTTTTATGCCTTGAATTTTCCCTGGGTTTAATTTGTTTGACTCTCAAATCCCCTTCAAAAGAATAACCCAGTACTTTTCTTCTTCATTAACATGGTACAGAATAGAATTATTAGCAGTTAAGAAATTATATATTGTGCCAGTCGTTTAACCATTGCGTTATATGGTCTCTGATTACTCCTTATTCGTAAATGTTTTTCTGTTAAAAATATGAGTTCCTTAAGGCCAAAGACCTGTGATTGTAAGCGTCTATATTTTGTAGGTGACCACTAAATACTCCACAGTTGCCAAAACAAACTTGAAAACAAATTGGGAATCTGGCCATCGTTAGCTAAATGAGGCCAGCAGAGGTGAAACGCTGCAGAGATTAGGTACTTGGCCTCAATACAGGAATTCATCTGTATCACAGGCAAAGGGGAATAGGGATGTTGCAAGGAGCTGAGTGCTGCTACTGAAGACAGAGTGGCTCGTTGAGTGTGAATGATCCAGATGTCCAGCCATATTGGTCCCATTCATGAAACTAAAACCTCCACTGTGTGTAGCCACTGTGCCCAAAGGGGACTTCTATACGTTTTCCTGGGCTTCATTATCACTGTGACTCTCTTTATCTTATTTCCCTTTCTGTTTTCATCATGAGCTTTGCAAGGAACCCCAAGTAACCCCATGCTGGCTCTGAAACCATTTCCACTAGAGAAATTGGCAAGATTGAAGGGAAGCTCCATAAACTTAAGCTGAATATGCCTCCCACTTTTAGTGCCAGACTCAGTCCTGTGTGAATTCTCTAATTTTAAATTGTTGCACCAGAGCATTGAAAGATGATGACACGCTTGTCCTTTGGAGCTGGTTGAGCAATGGAAGTGCGCCTTAGAGACATGACAAATGCTGCAATAGAGGATTCTTTGAAATGAGAGTCTCTCCTGAGAGAGGAGTGAGTGATTGATTGGCCGCCATTTCTATTGAGGGAGACAAACTGTGGCTGTGTGACTCCAGGCAGCTATGTACTTGGAAGCGTTTAGATAATTGACCCAAGTCTTTACCTTTCCAGAAGTTTGAGGGGACCCATGTAGTATCAGGGAATGTAACTCCTGAACTTGTCTTGGCCACATACTTTCTGTGTGAATTTAAGCAAGTCACTTGTCCTCTCTACCCTCTGTTTGCACATATATTAACAGAAAACACAGGGCTATTGTGAGGATTAAATGACACAGTAGTTGCGAAAGCACACCGGACAGCCTGTATAGAGTTTATTGGCCTGGCCTTGTAGTATTAATCACTTGTGGATAGAATGGAAGACATATAATATCCTAAATGTGAAGCATTTTAAGGAACATGGTGGGGAAATCAGCAGGATTCCTTAGGAATCAAAGCAAGTGGCAGTTTTGAGTGAGACGAGGCCTCTGCATGAGCTCCCGTGAATGTTTTGGTAAGGAAATGATCAGACGCAGAGAAAGCATCATGTCTGATGTTTTTAAACGGGGGAATTACCTCCCACTTTTATTAACATTTATCCATGAAAAGATTGAATATCCAAAAGTTAAGTCATTCTTTGTGCCTAAATGAGAGCGATGATTATGTTTTCTTCTGACAATGAAAATTGCCTTAGATCATCATGTTCTCCGTATGATGAATTGCTACCCGACAGCAATTACCCATATAAACTGTTAATTGCAGTGTAAAACAGGGGTCGTTAAGTGAAGAACAGTTTTTATACCTCTGATAGAGGTCGTCATAGATTATGACCTTTGTCAGCATTCTCACTTACACCTTGAATGAGATGAGCTGGAGGAAATTCTGAAATCATCATAGCTCTTAGTAAGGTATGTATTCTTTGTGTCAGAGGAAATCTGACCACAGTAGATTTCTTAGTTATATTCAGTCAACAGAACAGACACAAAGTGCCTATTATTTTAGCTTCCTTCGGATACCCTGAATTCGGCATTAGAAAGTTGTCCAGAAGATGCCTCGTGTCCACCTACCACTGTTGAGTATTTGTGAAGATATGTGGTGGAAAATGAATCAGACTCGTCTGAGTGGGAGTTAGTTTCTATAAAGCTCTACGAGATTCAAGTTTTTGGTAGACAATTTTGCACCTGTAACTAATTTAGAGACACAGACATTGCACATGTATTTGATAGCAACTGCTATTCAACTTTTATAACCTGGGAATTAAGATCACGTGGCTGCTTGAGAACACAGTTTTTGAGACCCACGTAATTTTTTTTTTTTGAGTAAGGGATTGCCAACACAAGATTGAGGTTCCCACAAGTGGCGAATGGTTTGCATTAGAAAGATTTAAAACAGCCAACTGTCAATCACCTACATGTAAATTATGCCTCATTACCTCATGCCAGGATTTCTGTATGGCCTTCTAGCTGAGCTAAATGAGAAACTCTCAGCCAGCCAATCCAATCTGCCAGATAAGTGGTCCTAAAAGCCTGTCTTTCTTACCCGTTTTCTAATACGTGTTGAGCACCTGCAATATATACAAGGCACCAGTGTGAACACTGGCATTCAGAGCTCTTTGTATTCTGGTTCCACCTCATGTACCTTATTTCCCTCCACACCCCAGAGACTGGCCTGCCATGCTCTTATTAGACTAACATCATTGTCCCAAGAACAAGCCACACTCACTCTTGCCTCCAAAACTAACATGTCCTGGAACGCCTCTCCTAATTCTTCCTCCTGTTCCAACTCTCTCTGTCCTTCAAGGTCAGGTTCAAGTAATGTCTGCCCTCTGAATACCTTACCGTTAATCGCTCTCCCTCTCCCCTGCAGGAATATGTGTCTTCTCCCCACTCCACTGCCAGCATCTGATACAGGCTACCCACTGTCCCTTGCCTGGAGGGCTATCCCAGTCTCTTGACAGGTTTTCCTGCCTCTGCCCCCAACAACCTAGTCTCAACCCAGCATCCAGAGGGATCACGTTAAAATGGAAGTCAGGTCTGTCCCTCTGCTCACAACCCTGCAGTCACTCCACTTCTCCTGACACATAAGCCCTACACCCCATGCCGTCAGCGTCCACCCCTCCCCGCTCTCCAGACACACTGGCCTCCTTGCCGTTCCTCCCATGTTTCACACTTGCTCCTGCCTTAGTGCTTTCACTCGAGTTCTTGCGCCTTCTGGGAACCCTCTTCCTCTGACATCTTGGCTGACTTTCAGCTGCTTCTAATCACT